AACGACCAGTCAGGGGGGCAGGTTGAGGTCATATTAGGGCGGTGACTGGGAGCTTAGGAGCAGCCGTGTAAACCAAATGCTGGACACCATGGTCATTACTCGCTAGCTCTAATATGACAGGCCTGTGCGGACGAACCGTCCACTGCTTATCTACTCTAATTGCTTTAAATGCTCGCATGCACGGATCATTCAGCCCGAGAAAATCAAGGACAGAGGATCCCGTCCCACCACGACACGTATAGTTCGTTGGTGAGACAAGTGTAGCACACGCAAGCGCACCGAAGCCATTAGCTTCAAGGGCGCTAGAAGTCATGTTCCAATCCCCCCCCCCACTAGGCACGGCCCCTCCACCCCGCTGAAACGCTTGCCATCTGCCGCCAAATACTTGGCGTTCAGACTCGTGGCACCAATGCTGGGAACGAGGTAGAGGCTGATGGCATGCACGGGCGGCCATCCTGGTAGACCTTGCACCACATGTAGCACACGATGTTGCACCACGTGCTCGCATAGTCCAGGAGGGATACGCACTCCACACTTGCTGCGAACGAATACGGCAACACCTGCTGCGGGCAACACTCCAGCCGAAGGAAGTGCTGACAGCGCCACCATCTGCCAGCCACGTCCATTGACCCAAGACTGTAGCGATTCCAGTTCACTCTCCAGATAGCCCGTCTCCTGCACCATGACAACCATAGCTTTGGATATTTGCAATCGCTTCTTCAGTGTGCGCTTACCACCATTTGCATTGACGATCTCCAACGTATGTGATGGTGCCGTCACAGTTGACGGCGGGATTGGCGAAGTCGCCCTCGGTCTCAGACCAGTGACGCATGGTGCATGGAATTTGCTACCCACAACGCCGCCTCTTGACCTGCATCTCACTGATCTTGGCTTGGAAATCCTCAAAACTGCCAGCTTGCCACAGCGCTTGCAAACTGGTCTCATCCAACTCATCATATGAACGCTTCTCATGCTCGGCGCTGGAAGGTGTCTGGGGCATGTCGTTATCACCACTACCCATTCCAGCTGCTGCAGCATGTGAACTTGCAGCATCCTGGCTCGCGGCACCGCCGCGCCCGCCAACGCCGCCGCTGTACACAACACGAATATTCTTTTGGATCTCCACCCAGGCAGCGCTGTTGAGGAAGGCCTGAACTCCCTCGTACTTGGCGTACATCTCCTCAGCATTGGCGATCTCAATCTTGACACCTTCAGGCGCACGTCATGACATTCACCAGACTCAGAGGCCAGCAGCGCAGAGGTACGAGCAACTGCAGCAACCAACTCTGCAACTTCAACACGCTTGGCCTCGAGCTTTGACTTGCGCTCCTCAATCGACTTTTGCAACTCATCGAACTGCTTCTGCTTTTCCTCCAACTCCTTGGTCTGGCGAGCCACTGCGTGACGTGCACGCTGCAACTCATTAGTGGCCCTCCGATGCGCCGTAGTCGGATTACGGAGTCCTTTGATATTCTCACGTATGTCATCAAGTTTCGTCTTGATCGAACTGCGTAGCTCATCAAAACCGGCACCCTCAGGCATCTTCCTGAGCGATTCTTCCAACTCATTTGCTTGCACAACCAACCGACCACGTTTAGCATCATCAGAACCTGGGGCAGCTCCTTGTGCAGCGGCTGCAGCTTCTTGGTCGCGGGTAGCTTGATCCTTGTGCCACGGGGCGCGCTTCGGCTTGCTCTCGGACTTAGCAGGCGATGCGCCTTGCCCCAGTGCTTTGACCAACTCATCCAGCTGCGCCTGCAAGCGTAGGATACTGGCATCACCTTTTCCGTTCCCCTTCCCGCCGCCAACTCCAGGATCTGGTTTGACAGCAAGTTGCTTCGTGTGCGCCTCCAGTGCTCGACTGCGGATGTAGGCTGGCGCCGCATTGCCGCAGCGGCAACGTATGCGGCTGGCCCAAGTGCGTGCGGCTCCACACCGTCCACAAGCCCACTCAGGACGATGAGGACCCAGTAGTACATCATCGTCATTGGCCATGGAATGCTCCCGCAGGAGCGAGGGAAGCCAGCAGCGGGCTGCGTGCTGGCACAGACTCGAAAAAACTGGCTCGCGAACGCGTCGCCGCGCTGAGTACTCGCGTTCGCAACCCCCTGAAACCCGTGAGCCAACATGGCTACGGAGGACCAGGAGGAGGAGGAGAAGGAGGAGGGGGAGGAGGAAGAGGGAGGGAGGGAGGGAGGGAGGGAGGAGGCAGGAGTGAGGGAGGGAGGGAGGGAGGAGGAAGGGAGGAGGAGGAGGAGGAGGAGGAGGAGGAGGGCCAATGTAAACCCAAGACCCATCAACGACGTTGCAATAAACAATCCCTCCAAGTTCCCTCAGCATCAGCTCCGTTTGTGGTGTATCTCCACTGCGGCAACAGCCCCGTTGGAAGAGAACCGTCTGACAGGTTTCAACCCTGCCACAGCACCATTCCTGAGACTTCAACGCCGCGAATCAAGGTTACTGTTGCGACCTGACGGCCCTAGGTTGTGCCAGAACGCCATTCCTAGAACGTCAACTCGGCGAATCAACGTGACCGCCGCACCCTGCTAATCCCAGGTCATGCTAAAATATCATTTCTGGGACGTCAACCCCTGAGAACCTTCGAAATTGCTGTAACTGCTAAGACGAATGCACGCGGTGCTGAGAGCCAAAGTTTGAAAAGGAGCAGCCATCCATCCGTGAAGCTCCAGCAAACGTTCAAGAAGAATGTGCGCGGCGCTTAGGCGAAAGCCACATGTTGCAAACGGCCCGCCCTCCATCCGTGAAGCTCTTTCAAACGTTCAAAACGAATGTGCGCGGCGCTTAGGCGAAAGCCACATTTTGAAACGGCCCGCCCGCCCTCAACCCGTGAAGCTCTTGCAAACGTTCAAGACGAATGTGCGCGGCGCTTAGGCGAGAACCACATGTTGAAACCAGCCCCGCAGCCATCCGTGAAACTGTCGCGATTTCAAAGGTTCAGGGTCATAGGTGGTGGAGAAGACTCAGGCGAAATGCCCAACCGTGCCTGGGGTGCGACAGGGAGGAGCTCTGTGTAAGGAAGAAGGATGGAGGAGGAGGAGGAGGAGGAGGAGGAGGAGGAGGAGGTGGAGGAGGAGGGGAGGAGGAGGAGGGCGAGGAGGGGAAGGAGGAGGAGGAGGAGAGGAGGAGGAGAGGAGGGCTAGGGGAGTTGGAGGAGGGGAGGAGGAGGAGGACTAGGAGGATGAGGAGGAGGAGGAGGAGGAGGAATAGGAGGACGAGGAAGGAGGAGGAGAAGAGAAGGAGACATAGGAGGACGGGGAGGAGGAGAAGGAGAAGGAAGGAGAAGGAGAAGGAGGAGGAGGAGGCGGAGGAAGAGGAGGAGGAGGAGGAGGAGGAGGAGGAGGAGGAGGGGAAGGAGGACGAGGAGGGGGATGATAAGGAGAACGAGGAGGGGAGGAGGAGGAGGAGGAGGAGGAGGAGGAGGAGGAGGAGGAGGAGGAGGAGGAGGACGAGGGAGGGGGAGGGGGAGGGGGAGAGGAAGAGAAGGAAGAGGATGAATCAAGGAGAGGAAGAGAGGAGGAGGAGGAGGAGGAGGAGGACGAGGAGGAGGAGGAGGAGGAAAGGGAGGAGGAGGAGGAAAAGGAGGAAAAGGAGGCAAAGTAGGAGAAGGAAGAGGAGGAGGAGGAGGAGGAGGAGGGAGAGGAAGGTTGGAAGGGGATGCGCTGCGCGGAGAGGTCGTGGGTGGGATCGCCGAGGGCCCTGGCAGGATGAGGGGAAGGAGGAGTAGGGGGATTGGGTTTCGGAGGAGTCGGAGGAGCATTCGTGAACGGGGCTTCATATGCTCACGGGTAAGATCGCGGCTGGGCGCCAACATGGAAGCATTGCAGCCGACGGCCGGTAATCCTCTCACGCGCACAGCGTGACAACGAAAGTTGGATTCATCCAAGTGGCTGCTTAAGAGGTGTGCGAAAGGAAAGGAGTCTTGAGGGGTATGAGATGAGGAGGAGAGGGAACAGGAGGAGCAAGAGGAGTCGGGAGCGATGATCAAGAGGAGGGGGGAGAATGAAAGAGGACGCAGGAGACCTTGGGGGGGGAGGGAGGGAGGAGTGCGCGGCCGGCATCCCGGGCCGCGATCTGCCACCCCCACTTCCCCCCGCCCTCTTCCTCGGCTGCCCCCCCCCCCCACCTGCTCCTCGTCCTCCTCCTCGTCCTCCTCGTCCTCCTCCTCCTCGTCCTCCTCCTCCTCCTCGTCCTCGTCCTCCTCCTCGTCCTCCTCCTCCTCGTCCTCCTGCTCCTCCTCCTGCTCCTCCTCCTCCTCCTCCTTCTCCTCCTCCTCCTCTTATAGTACTGGCGCCCATCCTCGCCCTCCATGTCATTTCCCCCGATCATCGCCCCCCCCGTGGAAAAGGAAACGTATGCTATCGGAGCTCCCCACATCAGGATTTCATTAGGTCGCGGGCTCAAGGCAGGGCACCCTCACCAACCGTGTCTGGCGTAGTTTTCCTGGTGGGGTGGGATGGGCACGACACTTGCTAAATTATTTGGTGTTCCAATACCCTGCCGCAGTTTGGCGTGGCCTCCCTGGAGGGATGGAGGGCTGGAAGGGAGAGCGTCCCTGGAGGAGGAGGAGGAGGAGGAGGAGGAGGAGGAGGAGGTGGAGGAGGGAGGACGGAATAAGAGGGTGTTCTGGGAAATCAATAACCCCACGCAGGATGTGGGGAACCATGCAGAAGAATAAGAGCAACTAGTCATCGTCCTTGGCTTTCCTCCCTCCTCCTCCTCCTCCTCCTCTTCCTCCTCCTCCTTCTCCTCCTCCTCCTCCTCCTCCTCCTCCCCCTCTTCCTCCCCAGACCCCGGACGTCAAAAGCGTGGCCCCTGGTGGTCTCGCCCCATACCCCTGGACCAGTTTTTCATCCCGAGTCGTTTGCGGACTGTCCCTGGGCCCTACAAGGGGCCCCTTGAGGCCGAAAATGTTGTCCAACTTCCGGTCGCGATTTTTGTCGCTAATCGAGGGTGTCTGGGTCCTCGGCCTCGCTCCCGAGGTCGCGAGCTGAGCAACATCAGGTACAGACTCCGGTCCGCGTCCTCCGAGCCGGTCGAGCAGCGCCAGCAGCTCAAGCACCGCGAGGGGGAGCTCCGGAAGCTGCGCGGGGCCCAGGGCGAGCCCGAACCGCGGCCACCCCTGTGCGAGTGAGGGAAGACGACGACGGCGCCGATGCCGACGCCGACGCCGACGCCGCCGCCGACGACGACGACGCCGACGACGACGACGCCGACGACAACGACGATGACGATGACGACGACGACTTTCAGCACGCCTCATGAAGACCTTCATGGTCTGAGTTGGCCGCTCCTCCTCCCTCTACCTCCCGTGGTCGCCTTGTTCTTGAATTCCAATGTCTCCTTTGCTGAATGCGCCGTCCAGTGGCGCTGGGCTGCTCGGCCAACCTGCGCGTTCGCCGCGTCCGCAACAAAATTGTCTTGGCGAAAGACGCAACCATATTGTGAGTACCGCAGTTGTGAATATCGTCTTCGGCGAAGCTCCCTATGTGGCCACGAAGCGTGTGACGGGTGCGCCGAAATTGGCGGCGGAGCCTCATGCGAAACTTGCGACTGCGGCATTCGGTAGAGCTCCGCCTGGGGCCACGAAACGTCTGAGGGGTGTGCTGACATGGGGTCGGAACCGCGGTCGAACCTTGCCACTGCAGCTTTCGGTGGAGCTCTGTATGGGTGCACGAACCGTGTGAGGGGTGTGCCGGAATATGTGCGGAGCCGCATGCGAACCCTGCAGTTGCGGCCTCCGGAGGAGCTCCCTACGGGGCCACGAAACGTGTGAGAGATGCGCCGAAATTGGGGTGGAACCGCATGCGAACCCTGCCACCGGGGCCGTCGGTGGAGCTCCCTACGGGGCCACCGGACGTGTGAGGGGTACGCCAGAATGGGGGCGGAACTTCACGCGAACCCTTACACTGCGTCCTTCGGTGGAGCTCCCTGTAGAGCCACGAACGTATGAGGAGTGTGCCAGAATTTGTGGGGAACCACATGCGGCACCTGCCACTGCTGTCTGAGGTGGAGCTCCCTATGCGGCCACGAAACGTGGAAGTGGTGAGCCGAAATTGGGCTGGAACCGCATGCGAACCCTGCCACTGGCGCCTTCGGCGGAGCTTCCTGTGGGGCCACCGGACGTGTGAGAGGTGTCCCAGGATGGACACGCGGAGGGCAGAGGCAATGGTGGGAGGAGGGAGGAGGAGCAGGAGCAGGAGGAGGAGGAGCAGGAGGAGGAAGAGGAGAGGAAAGAATCGCAGGGCGCTGTCCTTTCAAAACGAAGACCCAACACCACATGATGGTTAGGAAAAATACTCTCGCAGTGATCAGCCTGAGAGTGCGAGGTTCACGGAGCCGGAGCGAGTCTGGGGACACGAATGGGGGGCGTGGGTGGCCGGAGCCCATTCGAGAGCACAAGCAGCAGTGAGAGATCGATCAGGAGTGAGAGAGCAAGAGCTAGACTGCCATCGTGATGATTGCCGTTCCACGCCGAGGCATCTTGAGTACATGCGGAGGCGCGACCCGTTCCACAAGAACAGACAGCGCGCTCTGATCGCCCCCGAGAGGGCGCTCGAAACGCTGCAGGGCTACGTCTATCTCCACCTGCTGGTCTCCAGGACGAAGGGCACCTGGCGGGACGGGCGGGCATCCCTCCACTTCGACGTGTTCATTAACGACGAGCGGTGGGATTCCAAGAAGCGGTGCCCGATCGGCATGGGCATAGCTTTGCACATACACTCGCCGCTGTCCATCGTGCGGGTTGCCCTCATGGACGGCGACTCGGAGACCAGTGCGAGCCGCCGCCGGGCGGCGCGTAAATTTGGATTATATAACGTAAGAACCAGTTCAGAATGCCACGTTGTCACAATGACACGTGGCTTCTACGCAGCTGCCTGCAGGAAAGTCCATCGCAATGCTCGCAGGATGGTTTTACCGAGCTCTCCCAAACAGTCTGGGTAACAGAATGGCCTTGCGAGTCCTCCGAGGGACTCGGTGAAACCATCTTGGGGCTGTGTGGACAAGTCGCGGGGCCATCTTGGAGCTGTCTTGGGCCAGCATTGGGCCGCCCTGGGGCAAACTCAACCAGTTTAGGAGCCGTCGTGAGGTCCTCTTGGGCCATCTTGTGACTACTCCTCGGGTTCCTGCGGGGGCACGAAGCGTGTGACGGGCTTGTCCAAAAACGGACGGGGGCGGCATGCGTGGGTGGCCCCTTGGGCCGCAGGTGGAGCTCAGTGTGGGGGCACCACGCATACGAGGGAAGATGGGCGGGGGCGGCAGACGTGGGCGCCCACTGGGGCCACAGGTGGAGCTCCCTGTGGGGCACGACACGTGAGAGGGGTGCGCCGAGATTCAGGAGGGGACAAAACACACACAGACACAATGAATCGTCGATGCCCCAGAAAAGATGGGAAACTATGGGAAGTGGGGGGGAAGACAAAAGCCCAGAAAGCATGGGAAAAATTAGGTGAATCTCGCTATTTGTGTGTATTTGTTTGTGTGTCCTTGGGCCCCATTGAGAGAGGAGCGTGGAGCTTCCTGTCAGGTTACGAAGCGCGCCAGGCCTCTGCCGAAGTGGGCGGAGGGCGGCACGCGCGAGCGCCCACTGGAGCCGTGGAGGGAGCCCCCCTTGCTCAGGGGCGCCCTCGAGGGCGCGAGGTCATTCGCGCTTCGCGCTTCGGCTCCGATTCCTCCTCGTCCTCCTCTCTTCTTCCCCGGGAGGCGGCGCTAGAGCGCGAAGTCATCCGCGCGTCGCGCTTCGCGCAGCGCGAGAGCGCGAAGCTGGGAGCCCCTGCTTCGTGGGGGCACGAAGCGTGTGGGGGGGACGGGTGCTGGCCTGGGCGTGGGGCGACACGCGCGCGCCCACGGGGGCCGTGAATGGAGCTCTCCCATCTGCGGGGACGAAGCGTGTGAGGGGTGCGCCGAGATTGGCGGGGGGAGGCGCACGTGGGCGCCGCAGTGGGGCCGCAGGTGGAGCTCCGTGTCGGGCGGTGCGGCCGTGTGCAGGCTGTGCCTCTCTGGGGGGCAATGGG